TGGGAAGTTTCACACGGCGCATCGCTGTTTCTTTCGCCTCAACGACGCCTGGCGCGAGCAGTTCCCTGACGCCTCTGAGCTGCCCCGCTGGGCTGATCTGCTTAGGAAGGGGATTGATATCTTTGCTCTTGATTATGATGCTATCCTTGCTGCTATGTATGCATTGACTATTTGTGCTGAGGGTGACTGTTACCTGAGTGTACCGCCAGACCCGGGTATTGGGACCTGTGAGGCTGCAGCTCTAGGTGCTAGCGCGTCTGCTGCTCTAGGTCCTGGTGAGGCTACTGCCCTAGGTGCTAGTGCGTCTACGTCTTCTGGTACCGCACCTACTGAGGCACTGCACACCTTCACACTGGACTCAGGTGCTTCCCCCTATTTCTTCCGTGACCGCACTGCCCCAGAGCAGCTCCCTAGACCGGTTGCTGTCTCCCTGGCCGACCCCTCAGGGGGTCCGGTCCTTGCGACCTCCACCACTGCCCTCCCTTGTCCTGCTGTCCCGTCTGGCATGCTGTCTGGCCTCTACCTCCCCTCGTTCTCTACGAACTTGGTGGCGGGTTCCGCGCTCCAAGACGCGGGTCTCCACTAGTTCACCCCAGCCTACGAGCGTGTGATGCACTGCACGTGCGCCCGGATGGGTCGTCACCTGGCTACCTTTACTTGGCAGCCGGGGTCGGACTTGTACACACTGACCACTGAGTCCCCTCAGATAGCTGCGTCTGCGTCTGCGTCAGGTCAGCTGTCGGCCCTCTGTTCATGTCGCTCCCTGTCACACAGGACTGTCCTCTGGCACCATCGCCTTGGTCACCCGTCAGTGCAGCGCCTTCGCGGCATGCACTCCAAGTACCTTGTCTCTGGTCTTCCCAAGGTTCTCCCTCCCCTGCCACCCTCGCCTGCTCCTCCCTGTCTTCCATGTGTCAAGGGGCGGCAGCGCGCCGCTCCTCACTCTTCCTCGTTCCCTCCCACAGAGGCTTCCCTGCAGACTCTCCACCTAGACGTTTGGGGCCCCGCCCGCGTCCGGGGCAAGGGCCACGAGCGGTACTTTGTGCTGGTCGTCGACGACTACACGCGCTACACCACGGTCTTCCCCTTGCGTACCAAGGGTGAGGTCCCTGATGTCTTGATCCCCTGGATCCACGCTGCTCGTCTCCAGCTCCGCGAGCGGTTCCAGTCGGACCGTCCTGTCCTACGTTTGCACTCTGACAAAGGTGGCGAGTTCTCCTCTGACCTCTTGGCAGCCTACTGTACGGACCATGGCATCCGCCAGACGTTCACTCTCCCGGCCTCTCCGCAACAAAATGGGGTTGCTGAGCGCCGCATTGGTCTTGTCATGGAGGTCGCTCGTACCTCCATGATCCATGCGGCAACCCCCCATTTCCTGTGGCCGTTTGCAGTGCAGTACGCCGCGCATCAGCTCAACCTCTGGCCCCGTGTCTCTGTTCCGGAGACCTCGCCTATCCTGCGTTGGACAGGGGAGGTTGGCAATGCGTCGGTGTTCCGAGTCTGGGGATGTCGAGCCTTTGTCCACGATACGTCCGCGGACAAGCTCTCCTCCCGTGCCGTTCCCTGTGTCTTCCTTGGCTTTGTCCCTGACGCGCCTTACCAGCAGTTTTACCACCCCACCTCGCGCCGTGTCTTCGCCTCTCAGGACGTCACCTTTGACGAGTCGGTACCCTTTTACCGTCTCTTCCCCTACCGCACTGCCCCGCTCCCCCCCCCCCCCGCCGCTCTTCCTCACCCCAGGTGTCTCGTCGGTAGACCCCCTCCCTCCCCAGGGTGCTGCTCTCTCAGGTGTTTCCCAGGTAGACCCGGTCGAGCCTGTCGAGGTAGCAGTTGACTCTGGTCCTGCGCGAGGTGCTCAGCGTGCTGAGCCTGGTGGTGCTGGGTCTAGGGGTACTGAGACTAAGGGTGCTGAGCCTGGGGGTGCGGAGCCTGGGGGTGCTGAGTCTAGGGGTGCGGAGACTGCGGGTGGTGAGCCTGGGGGTGCTGCGACTGGGGGTGCTGAGCCCATAGGAGCTGAGGTTGGAGGCTCTGAGTCTAACCGTACTGCGCCTGTTGGCGCTCCCTCTTCACAGCAGCTACGTGAGTAGTACTCCCAGCGTTACACCCTCCGTAGTGGGGCTACTGGAGCTGGGAGGTCTGCTAGAGTTGAGGCTGGTGGCCCTGCGGGTACGGTGTCGCGGCCGGAGCCTCCCTCCCCTCAGCGGCTGCGTGTGTGGTATGCTTGGCACTGTACCCTCCGGAGTGGAGCTCCTGGTGTTGAGGTACAGCCCGCTGGAGGCCCTACTGCTGCTAGAGGTTCTGGAGCTGCTGGAGGTGCTGCTAGTGCTGGAGCTGCTGGAGGTGCTGCTGGTGCTGGTTCGGCTGGAGGTTCTGGAGCTGCTGGAGGTGTTGCTGGTGCTGGAGCTGCTGGAGGTGCTGCTGGTGCTGCTGGAGGTTCTGGAGCTGCTGGAGGTGCTGCTGGTGCTGCTGGAGGTACTGGAGCTGCTCGAGGTGCTGCTGGTGCTGGTTCGGCTGGAGGTTCTGGTGCTGTCTCTGCTGCTTCTGGGGGCACTTCACGGCCGCGGCCGTACTTCGTTCCACTCTTTCAGCAGGTTCTTGGTCAGCCGCCTCCTCCTAGTCCTCCCCCCTCCTTAGAGTGTCCTCCGCCTCTCTAGTCGCAGTCACAGCTACCCCTTGCCTCGCCACTTCCTGGTCCTTCTCCCTACACTGGTCCGACAGGCGGTCTTACAGAGCGTCGTGAGCCGGAGTCTCGTCCTGTGTTGCCTGTGTCTCGTCCTGTGTCACCTGTTCGTGCTGCTCGCACTGGTCGCCGTGTTCTGCGTGAGCGTCCTCCACCTGTCCCTGGCACACACTATATGACTCTGTGTCCTTCCACTGCTCCACAGCGTGTCCCTCTGCCGTCTCCTCCTGCGTCCTCTCTTCCTGTTCTTGCTGACCCAGAGTCTGACTCTCTTCGTGCTGTGAGTCCTCATGTCACGCGCCTCCTGGCCACTGCTGTCACTAACCCTTCCTTTGAGTCTGCTGCTGCGTCTGCCCTAGTTGCTGAGCTTGTCGACTTTGCTGCTCACTGTCGTCTAAACTACACCGCCAATCTTCTTGCTGAGTTTGAGTCTGTCTGTCCTCCGTCCGTCGGGGGTGAGTGTGCTCTAGGCACGGACATCCTTGAGGACAGACAGGAGGACCTTGAGTGTCTTGCAGCCGATGCGCCTCATCTCGTGTCCATGCTGATTGCCCCTGAGGGAGACCCGGATGCTCTAGACATCCCGACCCCGCGCTCTTACGCTGAGGCGATCGCGGGTGAGTACTCCTCTCACTGGCAGTCAGCCATGGATGCAGAGATGGCATCCTGGAAGTCCACTGGCACTTACGTCGACGAGGTTCCCCCTCCTGGGGCGAACATCGTCAGTGGCATGTGGATTTTCAGGGTGAAGCGGCCGCCGGGTTCTCCGCCTGTCTTCAAGGCTCGTTACGTTGCTCGAGGCTTCAGTCGGCGAGAGGGAGTAGACTTCTTTCAGACCTTCTCCCCCACCCCGAAGATGACCACTCTTTGGGTGCTACTGCACGTTGCTGATCAGCGTGACTACGAGCTTCACTCTCTTGACTTCAGCACAACTTTATTGCAGGGTAGCCTGCACGAGGAGATCTGGCTGCGCCGCCCTCCTGGCTTCACTGGGTCGTTTCCTCCTGGTACCCAGTGGAGCCTCCGGCGGCCGGTCTACAGTCTCTGCTAGGCGCCACGTGAGTGGCACGACACACTGAGGACTACACTTGCGGCACTTGGGTTCACGCCTTCTACTACTGACCCGTCGCTGTTTCTGCGCGCCGACACTTCGCTGCCGCCGTTCCACATCCTCGTGTAGGTCGACGACTTGGTCTTTGCCACAGCTGACACTGAGGCTCTCGCCCACGTGAAGTCGGAGCTGCAGAAGAGACACACGTGCACAGACCTGGGTGAACCGCGCAGCTACCTTGGCTTGCAGATCACCCCGGACAGAGCACAGCGCACCATTACCCTGACTTAGTCACACATGGTGCAACAGGTCCTTCAGCGCTTCGGCTTCACATACTCCTCGCCTCAGGCCACTCCTCTGTCTACTCGCCACTCGCTCTTAGCTCTGTCTTCGGATGAGTCCGTAGAGCCGAGTGGCCCGTACCCAGAGCTTGTTGGCTGCCTCATGTACCTGATGACTTGCACTCGTCCTGACCTAGCGTATCCTCTTGGCCTTCTGGCCCGCTACGTGGCTCCTAGTAGGCACCAAAAGGTGCACTGGGATGCTGCAAAGAGGGTATTGCGCTACTTGTGCAGTACATCGGGCATGGGGCTCGTGCTTGGAGGAGGGAGCCCAGTTGTTCTCACTGGGCACTCAGACGCTTCTTGGCGTTCTACACGTTCGTCTTCAGTTCTCAGCTACAGTTGTGAGGCTGAGATCTACGCCACAGTCATGGCTGCACAGGGGTTACGCTGGCTCACCTACCTGTCAGAACATTATAGCCCATAAGGTGTACAACCCAATTAGGGTTAGTACTTGTACCCAGCTCTTTCATAGTTCATTCATCCATTCTCACTTCTCGTCATGGTATCGAGCAGGTTCCTGAGTGGGAATACTGGCTAGGGCCCACCACAAACTTTTTTTTTTCCTTCCCTGCCTGGAGCGCGCTTCGCTCCTAACCCGAGTCGCGCCTCGAGCGGCCTTAGTGGCCCCCGTTGGACGCCCTTACGGCCTCTCGAGCCGCCTTCTACGGCCCCGTCTGGCCCCTTACGACCCCGTCGCGGCCCCGCCTAGGCCCCTTATGGCCCCGTAGCGGCCCCGCTTAGGCCCCTCACGGCCCCGTCGTGGCCCCGCTTGGGCCCCTTACGGCCTCGTTGCGGCCCCACTTAGGCCCCGTCTGGCCTCGCTACGGCCCTGCTACGGCCCCGCTACGGCCCCGCTACGGCCCCGATACGGCCCCGCTACGGCCCCGCTTAGGTACCCTCTACTCACGGCCTGCCTACTACTGTTATGGCTTCCCCTAGCGTTCTCACCTTTGACGCTGAGGGTCGAGCAGTAGACTTTGAGGTCTGGGTAGATGATCTGCAGCTTTTCCTGCAGTGCGATAGGGCGAACGGCCTCTCCCTGTTTGACCTCACTTCTGGTGCCTCCCCTGCCCCTGCTGCTGATGTTGACGCCACTGTTCGCTCACAGTGGGCCACACGTGATGCTGCTGCTCGCCTTGCTGTGCGCCGCCACTTACCGACCACTGAGCGTGCACACTTTAGCAAGTACAAGAGGGCTCAGACCTTGTACGACGCTGTAGTTGCACGCTACTCTTCCCTTGCCACTACTGCACTGAGCCGCCTCATGCTACTGTACCTGTTCCCTGACCTTGCTGCCTTTCCCACAGTCGCTGACCTCATTACGCACCTCCGCACTAGTGACACTCGCTACCGCGCTGCGCTTCTTGCTGAGTTCTGCGCCAAGAACCCCCCCCCCCCCATGTACATCACCCTCTACTACATAGTCACCCGGCTCCTTGACTCTCTTCGGGTAGTCAGGGACCACTTCCTCTCTGTTTGCCCCACCACTCTCACCGTTGACCTCCTCGAGAAGGCCCTCCTAGCGATAGAGAAGAGCATAGTCACTGTAGGAGCCTCTCGTGGTGACCCTCGCACCCCCGTCTTTGAGGGGTGTTCTCCCTCCCCCCTCTTGCCCTCTGTTGTCTCTGCTGCTGCGGCTGACCTCGTTGGTTTCGAGTCGGTCGGCGCTGCGTCTGCCCCGAGCGGGAGACGCCGCACCGGCAAGGGTAAGGGGGGCAAGGGCACTGGAGGGGCTGGAGGGGGCGGTGGAGGTGGTGGTGGAGGCGGTGGAGGGAGTGGGGGTGGTGGTGGGAGTGGTGCCGGGGGTGGCGGCGGCGGTGGCAGCAGTGGAGGCGGCGGAGGCGGTGGAGGTGGCGGAGGGAGCGGAGGCGGCGGAGGTAGTGGAGGAGGCGGAGGCGGCGGCGGCGGAGGCGGCGGTGGTGGAGCGAGTCGCGACTCTGCGCAGAGGAGTGGCGCCGGTGGTAGTCAGCGCCAGCAGCAGCAGCGGAGTGGTGTGACCCTGTCCCCTCAATAGCTTCGTGAGTGGTACACTGCACGCCAGCTCGGTGGGGGTTTTGGTCCCTGCTCTTACGCTCTCCGTACCGGCGACCGCACCGGTGAGCAGTGCGGAGGCCCGCACTCCATCCAGCGTTGCTTCGGTCGCCTGACGGACGCGTGGCGTCGCCAGTTCCCTGAGGCGTCAGAGATCCCTTGCTGGGGAGATCTGGCTAAGGCCGGGGTTGCTATCTTTGATCTTGACTTTGATGCTATTCTTGCTGTCATGTATGCTGTTGCTGATAGTGTTGAGGGTGCCTGTTACCTGTGTGTACCGCCTGACCCGGGCATTGAGGCTGCTGAGCTAGGTGCTAGTGAGACTGCTGCTGTAGTTGCTAGTGCGTCTACTGCCCCAGGGGCCAGTGCGTCTGCAGTCCCAGGTGCTGGTGAGTCTGCTCTCTCAGGTACTACGCCGGCTCAGGCCTTCCACACCTTCACCCTGGACTCGGGTGCGTCCCGCTCCTTCTTTCGAGACCGCACCACTCTTACGCCGCTTAGTCGGCCGGTTGCAGTCTCCCTGGCAGACCCCTCTGGGGGTCTTGTCCTTGCTAGCTTCTTCATTGTCCTTCTGTGCCCTGCAGCCCCCTCTGGCACCCTGTCAGGTCTCTACCCCCCCTCGTTCTCTACGAAATTGGTGAGTGGAGCGGACCTACAGGATCGAGGGGTTGACCAGTTCAATCCTGCGAGTCAGCGAGTGACCCACTGCACGTGTGCTCGGACAGGCCGACACTTGGCCACGCTCACCCGTCGCCCAGGGTCGAGCCTGTACACCCTTACTGCTGAGTCTCCTCCTACTGCTGAGTGTGCCCAGGTAGCTGCGTCGAGTGCGGTGTTTGCTGCGGCGTCCAAGTCTGGTCCTGAGTCTGCCCCCTGCTCGTGTCTTCCGTTCAGTCATGCGGTTGTGTGTCTTTGGATTTAATACCAAGCCAGTAAGAGCGTGGGAGGGTGGCGATGTCAAACATTATATATGTTGTGCTTGTTTAGGCTACAGTGAGTTAGCCTATAGGGGGTACACAATTCTAGGGTTAGGTACTTGTACTGATTTCACTGCTAGTTCAATCACTTTTTCTCGTTCCTTCATTTCAACAGGCGAGCATGATCGGTCATTGGTACTGGCGAATGAACCATGCCTGCTGCATTTTTTGCACATGTGCGGATCCTTCCGCGTTTTAGAGATGAAAACGCTCGTTCCGATCATTTTTCTTCCGTTCGATCACGCGGCTGTGTCTGTTTGGACTTATTACCAAGCCAGCAAGAGCGTCGGAGGGTGAGAGCAAGATCGGTCATTCGTACTGGCGAATGAACCATGGCTGCTGCATTTTCTGCACATGTGCGAATCCTTCCTCGTTTTGGGGATGAAAACGCTCGTTGTGAGTTTTTTTCTTCCGTTCGGTCACGCGGTTGTGTGTGTTTGGACCTATTACCAAGCCAGCAAGAGCGTGGGAGGGTGGCGAGCATGATCGGCCATTGGTACTGGCGAATGAACCATGGCTACTGAATTTTTTGCACATGTGCGGATCCTTCCATGTTTTGGCGATGAAAACTCTCGTTCCGAGCATTTTTCTTCCGTTCGGTCACACAGCTATGTGCGTTTGGACCTATTACCAAGCAAGCAAGAGCTTGTGTAATGACTATAGCTATTCATTACTAAGTCTGCTACTACGGCGTACAGCCCTGAGCACTTCGTGTCAGTTTTTTGTTCGGCCTACATTTCGGCCTGAACCACTGCCAAGTCGCCCCACACCGATCGCGACACGTCCAACCCCGCACGTCACGAGGTTCTTGCCTATCACATATTCGCTTTATAAATTCTCGTTTTTTTCATTATCTCTGTGAAAGAAAGAACGCGAATGAATGAACTACGAAATGAGTGAGTACAAGTAATAACCCTAATTGGGTTGTACCCCCTATGGGATACCCCACTATAGCCTACACAACAGCATAAGCTATATGTTCTGACACACCCCCATAGGCAAAGTGGGGGAGAACAAGGGGTCACAAGACCAGTCAAGCAAAGCAAAGCAAAGCTCAGGGTGGATCACAAAGTCACCACACAGTCCGAGCACAAGGTCAAGGCCACAAGGCCAGCTCACAAGCAAGAGGAGACATATATATATAAGGCTAAACAAGCAAGAGCAAGTATATATATATGCAAGAGTACAAGCAAGGTCAAGAGGTGAGCAAGTGAGGTAAGACAAGTACAAGTCCCAGCTGAGTGCAGAAGCGCTGATGATCACAAGGCGGAAGTGCCTTGGTGAAAACATCAGCAGTGTTGGCCTCAGAGGCCACGTACGCAAGTCGCAACTGACCACGCTGCTGCAGCTCACGAGCAAGGAAGTAGCGGAGAGCAATGTGCTTCGTTCTGTGCTCCAAGCGCTGCTCTCGACACAAGGCCAGCATGGCCTTGTTGTCTACGTACAGCACTGGAGGAGAACGAGGCGGCTCTCCAAGGTCAGTCAGCAGGTAGGTGAGCCAGCGAAGCTCCTGTGCAGCCATGGCCCCGGCGTAGATCTCAGCCTCACAACTCGAGCCGAGAACAGAAGACGAGCGAGTAGCCCGCCACGAGACAGAGCCAGAACCAAGACTGAAGGTGTACCCCTACGACGACCGCTGCGTAGCCTGGTCGTCAGCCCAAGAAGCGTCCGCGTGGCCAGTGAGGACCACTATACTCCGCCCTCCAAGCACTAGCCCCATGCCCGACGTACTGCACACGTAGCGCAACACCCTCTTCGCTGCAGCCATGTGCTCTGGTCGGTGTCTCCCAGGAGCAACATAGCGTGCAAGAATGCTAAGAGGGTATGCAAGGTCAGGTCGTGTGCAGGTCATCAGGTACATGAGGCAGCCAACAAGCTCTGCATACGGGCCACTCGACTCTACGGACTCATCCGAAGGCAGAGCTGAGAGTGAGTGGCGAGTAGGCAGAGGAGTGGCCTGAGGCGAGGAGTACGTGAAGCCGAAGCGCTGAAGGACCTGCTGCACCATGTGTGACTGAGTCAAGGTAATGGTGCGGCGTGCTCTGTCCCGAGTGATCTGCAAGCCAAGGTAGCTGCGCGGTTCACCCAGGTCTGTGCACGTGTGTCTCTTCAGCAGCTCGGACTTCACGTAGGCGAGTCCAGTAGTGTTAGCAGTGGCAAAGACCAAGTCGTCGACGTACACGAGGATGTAGAACGGCGGCAGAGAAGTGTCGGTGCGCAGAAACAACGACGGGTCAGCAGTAGAGGGAGCAAACCCAAGAGCCGCAAGCGTAGTCCTCAGTGTGTCGTGCCACTCACGCGGTGCCTGGCAGAGATCGTAGACTGGCCGTCGGAGGCTCCACTGGGTGCTAGGAGGGAAAGTCCAAGTGAAGCCAAGTGGACAGCGCAGCCAGATCTCCTCGTGCAGGCTACCGTGCAAGAATGCAGTGCTGAAGTCAAGAGAGTGAAGCTCGTAGTCGCACTGAGCGGCTATGTGTAGCAGCACCCAAACAGTGGTCATCTTCGGGGTGGGAGAGAAGGTATGAAAGTAGTCAACTCCCTGCCGCTGACTGAAGCCACGAGCGACGTACCGCGCCTTGAAGGCAGGTGGAGAGCCAGGCGGCCGCTTCACCCTGAAGATCCACATGCCACTGACGATGTTCGCCCCAGGAGGGGGAACCGCGTCAACGTAGGTGCCTGTGGACTTCCAGGAAGCCATCTCTGCATCCATAGCTGCCTGCCACTGAGAGGAGTAGGGACCCTCTACAGCCTCTGCGTAAGAACGCGGAGTCGGGATGTCTAGTGCATGCGGGTCTCCCTCAGGGGCAAGCAGTACAGACGCGAGATGAGGTGAAGCAGCAGCCAGACACTGGAGCTCCTCCTGCCTGTCCTCAAGGACGTCCGTGCCAAGAGCACACTCACCCCCGACGGACGGAGGACAGACAGACTCAGACTCAGCAACAAGACTAGCAGCGTAGTCTAGACGACAGCAAGCAGCAAAGTCGACGAGCTCAGCAACAAGAGCAGACGCAGCAGTGGACTCAAAAGAGGGGTCAGTGACAACAGTAGCAAGAAGACGCGTGACAGTAGGTCTGGCAGCACGAAGAGAGTCCGACTCTGGGTCGGCAAGCGCAGGAAGAGAGGACTGAGGAGGAGAAGGCAAAGGGGCACGCAGAGGAGCAGTAGACGGACGCAAAGACATCCGGTGCGTGCCAGGGACAGGAGGAGGACGCTGACGCGAACCGCGACCACTAGCACGAGCAGCACGAACAGGCGACGCGGGACGAGACGCAGGCTCACGACGCTCAGCAAGACCTCCAGTAGGACCATTGTAAGGAGAGGGAGCAGGCAGTGGGGAGGCTGGCTCTAACAGTGACTGCGACTGGACAAGCGGTGGACACTCTGCAGAAGGAGGAAGACCAAGAACCTGCTGTAGGAGCGGAACGAAGTACGGCCGAGGCCGCGCGGGGACTCCAGACACAGCAGGGACAGCACCAGCACCCTCCGCGGCAGCACCAGCGCCAACAGCACCTCCAGCGGCAGGACCTCCAGCCGCACCAGCAGCAAGACCACCGCCAGGACAGACAGCAGCAGTCTCAGAACGAACACCCTCAGCAGCTTCAGCTCCAGTAGGACCCGCAGGCCCAGCAGCTCCGGGACCGGCGGCATCAGCACCCTCAGCGGCCGAAGAGGCTCCAGCTCCAGCAGTACGCCTCTAGCGGCGAGCAAACCACTCGCGCAGCTCCTGTGGAGAGAGGGGCTCCCGCCGAGACGGAGCACCCGGAGAACCTCCAGGCCCAGCACCGTGAGACGCCACAAGGGGAAGTCCAGCGACCGCAGGCTCCGCACCTCCAGGCTCAGCAGCTCCAAACACAGCACCTCCAGGCTCAGCAGCTCCTGACGTAGCACCCTCAGACTCAGCACCCTCTGGCGTAGCACCCCCAGACTCAGCAAACCCATGCTCAACACCCCAGGTGGCAGCACCCCCAGGCTCAGCAACCCCAGGCTCAGCACCCTCAGTCGCAGCACCCCCAGACTCAGCACCCCCAGGCTCAGCACCCACGCGCACGGCACTCCCAGATCAGCACCCCCAGGCTGAGCGCCCGCAGCAGTACCAGAGTCACCAGCAACCTCGACCGGCTCGACTGCGTCAACCTAAGACACACCTGAAGGGGCAGGACCCTGAGGGGGAAGGGGTTCTACCGGGGGGGGACCTGGTACCAGGAAGTGCGGCGGCGGGGGGAGGGAAGGCGTGCGGTAGGGGAAGAGATGGTAGAAGGGGACTGGCTCGTCGAACGTGACGTCCTGGGAGGACAGAACACGACGAGAGGAGGGGTGGTAGAACTGCCACCCTGGAGCGTCAGGGGGGAAGCCAAGGAAGACACAGGGAGCAGCACGGGGGGACAGCTTGTCCGCAGACAAGTCGCGGACAAACGCCCGAGATCCCCAGACACGGAACGCAGACGCATCGCCGACCTTCCCAGTCCACAGCAGAGCTGGGGAGGTGCGGACCTTCCCCGGCCGGGAAACCCCGGGGTGAAGGTTGATCTGATGCGCCGCGTACCGAACTGCAAACGGCCACAGGAAATGGGGGGCAGCCGCATGCATCATGGACGTACGAGCAACGTCCATGACCATGCCAATGCGGCGCTCAGCAATCCCATTTTGCGGCGGAGAGTCCGGAAGCGTAAAGGTCTGGCGGATGCCCTGTGCACGACAGTAGGCTCGCAGAAGGCCAGAGGAAAACTCTCCGCCTCGGTAAGAGTGCAGACGCAGAACAGGAAAGTCCGAGCCGAAGCTCCTCCTGAGCTGGAGACGAGCTGCGCGGATCCAGTCGATCAACACCTCAGTGACATCACCCTTGCTGCGCAAGGGGAAGACTGTGGTGAAACGCGAGTAGTCGTCAACCACCAGCAGGAAGTACCGCTCGTGACCCTGTCCACGGACGCCGGCCGAGCCCCACACGTCCATGTGAAGCGTCTGCAGAGGAGCCTCTGTCGGAGGAAACAGGGAGGAGTGGGGGGCAGCCCGGAGGCGCCCCTCGACACAAGGGACACAGGAAGGTCCTGGCCCCGAAGGAAGGGGAGGGAGAGACCTGGGAAGACCAGAGACAAGGACACGGGAAGCCATGTCCCTGAGACGGGGCAAGGAGGGGTGGCCAAGACGGTGGTGCCACAGGAGAGTCTCGTGAGACAGGAGGCGACACGAGCAAGGGGCAGACTCAGGACCAGACCTGGACGCAGCAGCAAACACCTGACCCGACGCAGCTACCTGGCCAGACGCAGGGACAGGAGGAGACTCAGTGGTCAGGGTGTAGAGGCTCGACCTCGGCTGACGGGAGAACGTGGCCAGGTGCCGGCCTGTGCGCGCGTCCGTGCAGTGGGTCACCCGCTGACTCGCAGGAGTAAACTGGTGAACCCCCGCATCCTGTAGGGCAGCACCACTCACCAAGTTCGTCGAGAATGAGGGGAGGTACAGACCAGACAGGGTGCCCAAGGGGGCAGCTGGACACGGGAGGACAGTGGAGAAGTGAGAGAGGACAGGACCCCCAGAGGGGTCAGCCAGGGAGACCGCAACCGGCCGGCCAAGCGGCGTGGGTGTGGTGCGGTCCCGAAAGAAGGAGCGAGAAGCCCCAGAGTCAAGTGTAAAGGTGAGGGAGGCCGAAGCCGACGCGGTACCTGAGAGCGCAGCCTCACCAGTACCTGAGAGCGCAGCCTCACCAGTACCTGAGAGCGCAGCCTCACCAGCACCTGAGAGCGCAGCAGTGTCACAAGCACCTAGCGCAGCCGTACCAATGCCCGGGTCGGGCGGGAAACACCGGTAACAGTCACCCTCATCACTAATAGATATAGCATACATGGCAGCAAGGATAGCATCAAAGTCAAGATCAAAGATCGCTACGCCAGCCCTAGACATCTCTCCCCAGCGGGGGATCTCAGAAGCGTCGGGGAACTGCTGACGCCACGCGTCCGTCAGGCGGCCAAAGCAGCGTCGGGTGGAGTGGGCACCCCCACACTGCTCACCCGCGCGGTCGCAGCTGCGAAGAGCGTAGGTGCACGGGCCAAAAACTCCACCACGCTGACTCTGCGTGTACCACTCACGGAGCTGCTGAGGCAGGGGGACGTCCCGAGAACGTTGCTGCTGCTGGTGCTGCTGCCGCGGACCACCACCAGAGCCGCTCCGCTGCGGGGCACTACCCCGACCAGCTCCACCTCCTCCGCCACCACCGCCTCCACCTTCGCCACCACCACCGCCTCCGCTCCCACCGCCTCCTCCGCCACCGCCTCCGCCGCTGCTGCCGCCACCACCGCCACCACTCCCGCCACCACTCCCACTGCCACCCCCACTCCCTCCGCCGCCTCCACCGCCACCTCCACCGCCCCCGCCAGCTCCACCCGCGCCCTTGCCCCCCTTGCCCTTGCCAGGGCGGCGTCTCCCGCTAGGGGCAGACGCCGCGCCGACCGACTCAAGACCAAGCAGGTCGGCAGCAGCAGGAGAGGCAACAGAGGGCAGCAGGGGGGAAGGAGAACACCCCTCAAAGATGGGGGTGCGCGGGTCTCCACGAGAGGCTCCTACAGCGACTATGCTCTTCTCTGCCGCTAGGAGGGCCTTCTCGAGGAGGTCAACAGTGAGAGTGGTGGGACAGACTGAGAGGAAGTGGTCCCTGACTACACGAAGGGAGTCAGGGAGGCGAGTGACTATGTAATAGAGAGCGATGTACATGGGGGGGGGTTCTTGGCGCAGAACTCAGCAGGAAGGGCGGCGCGGTAGCGAGTGTCACTAGTGCGGAGGTGCGTAATGAGGTCAGCGACTGTGGGAAAGGCAGCAAGGTCAGGAAAGAGGTACGGTAGCATGAGGCGGCTGAGTGCAGCAGTGGCAGGGGAAGAGTAGCGCGCAACTACAGAATCGTACAAGGTCTGAGCACTCTTGAACTGACTAAAGTGTGCACGTTCAGTGGTAGGGAGGTGGCGACGCACAGCAAGACGTGCAGCAGCATCGCGGGTGGCCCACTGAGAGCGAACAGTGGGGTCAGCATCAGCAGCAGGAGTAGGAGAGGCGCCAGAGGTGAGGTCAAAGAGAGAAAGACCGTCTGCTCTATCGCACTGTAAAAACAGCTGCAGGTCGTCGACCCAGACCTCAAAGTCAATGGCTCGACCCTCAGCGTCAAAAGCGAGGACACTAGGGGTAGCCATGACGACAGACTAGCAGTGCAAGCAGTGGGGGTAGGGCACGCAGTAGCAGTGGGGCGTGCTCACCAGACAGGGCAGGACAGGCAGCTCGACAGAAGGGCGACTCGGCGGCAGGGTGGCTCGGCTGCGGGGCGGCTCGGCTGCGGGGCGGCTCGGCGGCGGGGCGGCTCGGCGGCAGAGCGGCTCGGCTGCGGGGCGGCTCGGCGGCTGGGCGGCAGGGCAGTAGGGCGGCTCGGCGGTCGGGCGGCTCGGCGGCTCGGCGGCTCGGCTGCTAGGCGGCTCGGCTGCACAGCGGCTGGGCAGCTCGGTTCCTCCGGTACTCGGCCGCGCAGCGGTCAGCTGCTCGGGTGCACGCTGCAGGGTAGTGCAGTGGGCGAGGAGAGCGGCCGGGCCGCTAAGTAGGGCGGCGGGGCTGCGTAGGAAGGGCGGCGGGGCCGCTAAGGAAGGGCGGCGGGGCCGCTAAGGAAGGGCGGCGGGGCCGCGAAGTGCTGAGGGCGGCGGGGCCGCGAAGTAAGGGCGGCAGGGCCGCGCTAGGAGGGCGGCGGGGCCGCAAAGGAAGGGGCGGCGGAGCCGCGAAGCGCCGGGCGGCGGGGCCGCGAAGGAAGGGCGGCGGGGCCGCTGTAGTAGGGCGGCGGGGCCGCGTGAGCAGAGCGGCGGGGCTGCGAAGTGCAGGGCGGCAAGGCCGCTTAGCAGAGGGCGGCGGGGCCGCGATGTAAGGGCGGCGGGGCCGCTAAGGAAGGGTGGCGGGGCCGCGTAGCAGAGGGCAGCGGGGCCGCGATGTAAGGGCGGCGGGGCCGCTAAGGAAGGGCGGCGGGGCCGCTTAGCAGAGGGCGGCGGGGCCGCTTAGCAGAGGGCGGCGGGGCCGCGATGTAAGTGCGGCGGGGCCGCGTCAGCAGGACGGCGGGGCCGTGAAGTAAGGGCGGCGGGGCCGCTAAGGAAGGGCGGCGGAGCCGCGATCGAAGGGCGGCGGAGCCGCGAAGTGAAGGGCGGCGCGACGGGCCGCTAGGGGCGACACGAAGGGTCGCCAAAAAAAAGGAGAACGCGCCTCGGGGCGCGCTTCGGTGGGCCCTAGTAGCAGTCCCTAGGAGGGAACCTGCTCTGATTCCATGTGAAAGAAAGAACGCGAATGAATGAACTACGAAATGAGTGAGTACAAGTAATAACCCTAATTGGGTTGTACCCCCTATGGGATACCCCACTATAGCCTACACAACAGCATAAGCTATATGTTTTGACAATCTCGTCATTCTAGAATTCATCCTTTTTATAAAGTCTTCCGCGCACTCTTTTTAGTACAACGTTTAACCAACGTGGGAGGTTGGCGAGCATGATCGGTCATTGGTACTTGCGAATGAACCATGGCTGCTCCATTTTTTGCACATGTGCGGATCCTTCCGCGTTTTGGGGATGAAAACGCTCGTTCCGAGCATTTTTCTTCTGTTCGGTCACGCGGCTATATGCGCTTGGACCTATTACCAAGCCAGCAAGTGCGTGGGAGGGTGGCGAGCATGATCGGTCATTGGTACTAGCGAATGAACCGTGCCTACTGCATTTTCTGCACATGTGTGGATCCTTCCGCGTTTTGGGGATGAAAACGTTCGTTCTGAGCGTTCTTTTTCCGTTCGATCACCCGGCTGTGACCTATTACCAAGCCTGCAAGAGACTGGGAGTGTGGCGAGCATGATCGGTCATTGGTACTGGAGAATGAACCATGTCTGCTGCATTTTCTGCACATGTGCGGATCCTTCCGCGTTTTAGGGATGAAAACGCTCGTTTCGGTCGTTTTTCTTCTGCTCGGTTACACGGCTGTGTGTGTTTGGACTTATTACCAAGCCAGCAAGAGCGTGGGAGGGTGAGAGCATGATCGGTCATTGGTACAGGCGAATGAACCATGGCTGCTGCATTTTTTGCACATGTGCGGATCCTTCCTCGTTTTGGGGATGAATACGCTCGTTGCGAGCGTTTTTCTTCCGTTCGGTCACGCGGTTGTGTGGGTTTGGACCAAGCCAGCAAGAGCGTGGGAGGGTGGCGAGCACGATCAGTCATTTGTACTGCGAATGAACCGTGCCTGGTGCATTTTCTGCACATGTGCGGATCCTTCCGCGTTTTGGGGATGAAAACGCTCGTTCCGAGCGTCTTTCTTCCGTTCGATCACGCTGCTCCGAGTGTTTGGACCTATTACCAAGCTAGCAAGAGCATCGGAGGGTGGCGAGCAGTTTCATGCTTCACCCCATCTGCTTTGTCCAACTCATGTTTAGAGCAGGGTCAGGTACAGTAACCATAATCCATTGTTACCGTATGTCAAGACGAGATACTCAAGCAGGGCAGCACTTTCTGTGCGAGACTCTAGACTCCATTACAATGTGTTTGCTTCCAACCAAAGGTAGGTTGGATTGTTCTAGTGGACCGATACGGTACTTGTTTGTACAAGTGCAAAGCAAAAAACACAAGTTTTCTCTGCACTCTTGGCTTCATGTGACCTAGTAGTATACCTGAAAGAGATGTTCAGGACAATTGCAGCAACGGGAGGGGAACGGTGGCTGTGCGGGATAGGCTCCTAACCAGGACCCTCCAGGCTGCCTCCGCTGCTGCAAAGAGCGCGGGGACTTGCGGGGAAAGGTAGGGCAGCAGGGGTCCCGCCACCCTGGTACAGTCACGCAGGAGTGTGACTGTGGCGGGGGCGAGGGAGGGGAGGGCGATTGCACATCTGACGGCGGAAGGGAGGGCGGAGGAGAGGAAGTCGGTGGCAGCGGCTGTGTGGGTGAGCGTGTGGGTGAGCAGATGCAGCACCTGGTGTGGATTGGGGGGCAGAGGGGAGGGGAACGTGGGGGGCACAGACAAGGAGAGGAAGTTGGTGGCAGCGGCCGTGTGGGTGAGCGTGTGGGCGAGCAGATGCAGCACCTGATAACGATGGAGGAGAGGGGAGGGGAGAGGGGGGGTTGGTGACGGGGAGGGGGTAAAGGGGACACGCAGGGGGAGGAGATGGAGATGAGGACGAATGGGCTAGCAGGTCGGAGTGAAGGGAGAGGAAGAAAGCTTGATAGTGGAGGGAAGAGCGGATGAGAGGAAGAGAGGGCGACTGAGAAGGAAATGGTGCGGGGAAGGACGGCTCACATGGGAGGCGAGCGGCAGGGCGTCGGGTGCATCGCAACAGCACACAGCATACTCCGCCACCAGAGCCACGGCCATGAGCTGGCGCGACATGATTGGCTGCTGCAGCAACTCCCGCACGAGTGCTGGGAGGAGCGAGCGTGTGGCTGGGGAGGCTGCAACCAGGGGAGGTACACATGTGAGCGAAAAGCCCTGCAGAAGAGGACAAAGGGACGGAGGGAACGAAATACAGAGATGCGGAGGGACAGAATGAGAGAATTATAAGGGGGACAAGGGCATGTGGTGCATTACCAACGACGCCTTGCGTGTGATGGGGGGGGGACGGCTTGCATCAAACATCAACTCGGCGGCAGGAAGGTACCTGGAAGGTGAGGAGGCGGAGCAGCAGCGGGTGCTGGGCGATGAGGCGGTCGAGGAAGGCGAAGAGCATGGCCTGGCATGCTCGCACGTCCCTGCCCTGCTGCCCCGCCTGCCACCGCTGCCTCTGTAGTTCATGCCTTTGTTGCTCACGCTGCTTCCTCCATTGCCCCACTTCCTCCTCTTCACCCTCCACCCCCTCATCCTCACCCTCCTCCTCCTCATGCTCCTCATCTCCCTGCTCCTCATCTCCCTGCTCCTCCTCTCCCCCCAACTCCTCCAGCCTCTCTAAAATCTCTTCCACCCTCTCCCCCTCCTCCTCGCCTTCCTCCTGCAACTCACCACACATCTCCAGGACCATCTGAGCCACCACCCCCACCATCGCCACCACCCCATTCTCCACCTCCGCTCGGCTCATCCGCTTCCCCAGCCTCGCCACCACCCCTTTGCTCAACCCCAACCCCACACCGAAACCCAAACCCACACCACCCACACCAGGACCGGTCTGATTGAATCCTTTGCCTTCCTCCTCTGACCCTGCCCGTGTCCCCACTTTCCCTGCACCTCCCCCGCCTCTCTCCCCTTTCTCCGCTGCTCCGGCTCCCCCTCTAGCCGCACCACCAGCACCAGCAGTGCCAGCAGCGGCACTGCTCCCACCATTCCCACCCTTCTCTCCATCACCATTTGTAACCTCCCCACCGTTTTCCCCACCTGCTCCCTCTGCCAGCTCAGCAGCGCACGCCCTGCGGAAATCGTCCAGCTGGCGCGTCAGGATTGGCAGGAGGAGGCCAGAGAGGAGGGGAGGGGAGCGGAAGAGGAGCGGGTGGGAGGAGAGGAGGCGGAGGGGGAGAGTGAGGGCGTCTAGAGGGTGGGGGGGACGGACAGGGAGGGACGGGGAAGATGGAAAGGGAGGAAGTTCCAGAGGAGAGAAACGAGGAGGTGAGAGGGAAGGTGGAGGTGGTGGGGAGTGAGTGGAGAGAGGGAGGGGGGGTGAGGGCGACAGGGAGAAGGGGGATGGAGAGGAGGGAGGAGGGAAGTTCTGAGTTTGAATCGCTTCGACCACAGCTGGCATGAGAGCTAGATATCCCAGAGGGGGGAGTCGGCTCCACCAATAGGAGAATGACACCTGGATAGCCCTCAGGTCCATGATCGAGTGTGATTGCAGCGAGTGTGACTGTAAGAGAGAAGAAAGCAGGTTGTTGATAATGACAAGCTCTGCCGCCCAATCCCCAACGTCAAACCCTGCGTCGGCCAGGGAGACGCTAAAAAACTTTTCCCTACCCCTTTGCGTGACTCCTTTGACAGCAGGTTCGGAGGCAGAGAGGGAGAGCGAGAGGGATAAGGAGAGGGGAAACTGCCAGGCATCAAGAAGAGCGCAGAGAAGAATGCAAAACTCCTCATGCTGCTGCTGCTGGGGGTTGGAGTTTAAGGCAAGGGGGCAATTAGCCATGCTCCACTCAAATGCTTGCACAGGGCTTGAAGTGAAGGAGATGGGAGGGGTGTTAAGATTGTTGAGAGTGTTGGGAGCGTTTGGGGATAGGAGGGTGTGAAGAAGAGAGTAGAGGATGTCTAGAGCGTGCTGGTGTGGCAGGCTGTCATCTGGTGCTGTTCCGTTTGCTGGAATAGCAATCAAGCGTGCTGAGGTGGATAATGAGCGGGTTGATGTGGTGGTGGAGCGTGCTGACGTGGCAGGGAGGGAGGGTGGGAGGAGGAGGTTGAGATAGGGGAAGGTGCGGAGGGCTTTGGGGCGGGCGAGTGTGTGGAGAGGAGGAGGGGGAGGAAAAGGGCTTGTGAGGGAAAAGGCGTCGGAGTTTGTTGGTAGGGGCAGTCGAGGAGGCTGCCCGGGAAAGTCGGGCAGCATAGAAAACGCCAGAGACTGCCACTGCAAGCAGGAAAGAGAATTCACAGGAGACACAGGTTGGGAAAAGGTTTGTGAGGGGGGTCTTGGGAAGAAGCAGCACAGCGAAAGAGGAAAAGCAAGAGAGGAGAGAGGCAACGGAGGGAAAGGAAGGCAAAGGGAAGGTGACACATACAGTGGAGTGAAGTTTGCAAGAAAGGAGAAGAGAAGGATCTTTGGCAAGTGGAGTGACACACGGTGGGCATTAGAGAGTGAAGGAACGAAGTGACACTCTCTCTAATAGCTACAACACTCACAGTAGGCATGAGCGGGGTGAAGTCAAGGAACCTCCGCTCAAAGGTGGCAAGCAGGGTGTGCCAGGGCACGGCACGCAGCAGCAACTGCCACCACTGCTGCCCTGGCAGGGCATGAATGACCACTGCTCTGCATGCCTGCACCGCTCCTCTGCTCCCTGTTCCAACTGTCGCCCTTGCACTTCCTATCCTGCCACTCCCACTACCGCCCTCCTCTCGTTCCTCCTCTCCCTCTTCTCCCGCCTCTCCCTCCTCTTCATTTTCCCCCTCTGCTCCCTCGTCTCCCTCTTCCCCTTCCTCGAACTCCTCTCCCACTTCTGGCAGCACGAATTCAGCCCCAGCAACTCCTCTCTTGCCCGGCACGCCCTGTATCCCTCTCCTCTCCCCTCCCTCCTGCGTCCCTCTCCTCTCCCCTCCCTCCTGCGTCCCTCTCCTCTCCCCTCCCTCCTGCGCCCCTCTCCTCTCTCCCGCCTCCTGCCCACCTCTTTTCTCCCCACTCCCCCACGCTCCTCGCTTCCTCTGCATCTCCCGCTCCCACAGCAGCACATACAGCGACCCCAGTGCCCCTCGTGCCAGCACCCTCCCCTCCTCACCCCAGCACATCTCCTCCAACCGCATTCCACTAGTGCCACGACCCACCGCCCCACCCACGTCATCCCCGGCGCCACCACCCCCACCCGCCTTACCAGTTTTTGACCCTGATTCAGGTTCCAGAGATGCCACTTGGGGCAGAGGTTGTGTGGAGAGGAGGGGAGAGAGCAGAGCAGTGTGAGGCATTCCAGAGGTGGTGAGGAGACAGGCCGGCCAAATGAGACGAAGGAGGGCAGAGCGAGAGAGGGGTTGGATGGCAGGGTTGGGAGGGGTTGTGGTGGGGGGAGAGAGAGTGGGGGCGGTGTTTGGAATGGTAGGGGAGGAGGTGGGGTGGTGGGGGGAGCGGGAGGGGTGAGAGGGGGATGGGTGGGCGGAGGAGGGGTGGGATGGGGAGATGCGGGACGGGGAGGGGTGGGAACGGGGGATGTGAGAGGGAGAAGCGTGGGAGGGGGAGGGGTGCGAGGAGGGGAGAGAATAATGAGGGTGCGTCGGGGGGTGGGCCGAGGGGGGGTGGGAGACTGGCGTGCGGGCGGGGGTGGGTGGAGCAGGAGGGAGGGACGCGGAAGCAAGGGCAGAGACGTAGGAGGAGAGGAGGGAAGGGAATACAGGGTGGATGGGGAGGGAAGCGGCGTAGAGGCAGCGGAAAAGAGCCGGGGTGGGGTTGATGTGGTGGAGGGCGAAGAGGTCTGCCTCTAGCAGCAGATGCATGCACTCTGCTGCCCGCACTGCTGCTGATGCTGATGCTGATGCTCGCACTGTTGCTGCTGGTTTGTCCACTGGGCCGGTGCAATTTCGGACTGTACTGTGGGCTTGGTTTGAAAAGAGCTGCTGGGATGCAACACACGGTGGGTGCAGCGCTGCCCCTGCTCTGACCACCCCTGCTGCAGAGACTATCGCAGGAGCAGCGGTGGTAGTGGCGGCATTGGTAGTGCCAGCAGAAGTAGCATTCTCACGAGCGGCAGTGGCAGGAGGCGCAACAGCAGCAGCAGCAGCAGCAGCAGCAGCAGCAGCAGCAGCAGCAGTGCTGTTAGCATTCCCGTTGGGACTTCCTCCCCCTACTGCAGTATCAGCGAGATGGGTGAGAGAGGCGGGACTCAGTAACACAGGGAAGCCCAGGGTCTGCCGAATGAGCTGTGGATGGGGTAGAGGCATGAAAGGGAGGAGTGGGAGAAAGGGAAGGGGAGAGTGAATATGTGATTCCAGGGGCCTGAAATGGCAAGCTGGCATATGCACGCATGGGCACATGGACGCGTGTGCATGTACTCTTTAGTGGGAGTGGGCACACACAACAAGCTCACGATAAAAGCATTCTCATTTATCCAAGTGTGTTCTTTCACACGCACCTCTGTCAGAGATTTATGTCTCTTAAGCATCAGCTGCACCAGCACCCACACCACCAGCACCCACACCAGCACCTGTTTCCTCTGCTTCCCTCCTCCCTTTGCCTCACCCACAGACATTCACTCACATTGCACGTGCACACAATCACATGCACCTGCACCAGAGCCTCGTGTCTCTTGAGCATCAGCTGCACCAGCACCCACACCACCAGCACCCACACCACCAGGACTTCGTTGCGCACATGGGACACACACGTGCACATTCACACAAGCAAACACACCTCTACCAGAGATTTATGCCTCTTGAGCATCAGCTGCACCAGCACCCACACCACCAGCACCTCGTTTCCTCCTCTTCCCCATCCGTCTGCCCCACCACTCCCATCGGCCACTTTGTTTCGCAGTTGCTTCGAGGAGGAACGTGCAGAATCGTGAGATGGGTTGATCGCGAGATGGGATGAGAGAACGGAACGTGCTGCTTCAAGGTAGAGGGGGTGGAGGAGAGGCGAGGAGGCGAGGGAGGGGGGGATGAGGGAGAGGAGGGAGAGAGCGAGGAGCACGAGCTCTTTAGAGACAGGGGAGGGTGTAGCTCCTGCTTTCTTGCTGTGCTGCTGCTGGTGCTGATGGTGCTGGTGCTGGTGACGGTGATGGTGATGCTGATGCTGATTGTGCTGGGATGTGCTGGCGCCGTTTCCTGCTGTGGCTTGCACGATTGCTGACAGCCAGAACGACACCTGCAGCAGCAGCAGCAGCAGCAGCCAACGAAGTTGAGGAGAGGTACTAATGAGGCCCCACGTGGGTAAAATTGAAGGTCGCAGGTGATAACAGAGGGCGACAAGAAAACCACCGAACCACGAAACCACCAAGCAATACTTACTTCCTTATGACGCTCCACACCACACCCTCAGCTGGTGCAGAGCAGTCGAGATGCCTGCACCGCCCTACCACACCACCACCAACCAACCACCCCCCTATGTCTGATTGCACGAGGACGAGGTGCATACAACCTCATCCCAGCCGTTCGTCTCTGCATTCATCATCCCATATCCCCCCACCCCACCCACCTTCCCGCCGCCCGTGCACCCACCTCTTTGGCTGCCAGGCTGTCACGTGCAGCATCTTCGAGCTTCACCACGCCGCACCCGCACAACAGACAAAACACCCGCAGGTGCCGTGACAGTTCCGCCGACCATCTTCCCACCACCCCGCCGCCCTCCTCCAGACGCTCATGTGCCTTACACCCTGTACTCCCTGCCACGCCACCACCACCTTTTTCCTCCTCCTCCTTCTCCTCCTTCCTGGAAACCTCATCCTCGCCCTTAACCTCCCCACCCTCCCCACCCTCTCCACACTCCCAACTCTCCACACGCCCCCCACTGTGCCCCAGCCTCACGTCAAGACCCACTCTCTCCGCCTCTGCCTCTGCTCCTCGCAGCAATGCCGCCCTGGCGCGCCACATGGCGCATTCCGATTGGCTCCCAACAGCCACCATATCCTCACATTCCCCCATCGACCCTGCTGTATCCCTTTGTGCCTTCACCCCTCCTCCTTGGGCATGTGACACTAACGGGCCCCAGGTCTCCCTTGGAGAGAAGAACACCTGAGGATCAAATGCAGTGAGGCTCGGAAACGACTGCGCAAGAACACTTTTCCTTGGAAGAAATACGTCCTCTGCTTCTCTCTCCCTCTCCCCCTCTTTCCCCCCCTGCTCTGCATGTCTACTCACTGCATCCCCTTCCTCTTTTCCGTCTCTCCCCTCCCCTCTACCAATATTCTCTTCTTCCTCTTCTGCTATTTTTCCGCCTGGCAGCCTGTAAGGGGCTATAAGAAACCTCCACAAACTGGTTTTGGCCAGTAGGGGATCGGACAGAGGAGGCAGGGCAGACAGGAAAAACGCCAGCTCATCGCCAATCAGATCCACCGTGATCTGCACTGCCAGCTCAGCAAGCACGTGCTGACTCAGCAACGCCGCCCGGCACGCCTTGGGAACCGCAAGAGGGTCTTCCAGCAACACAGGACCTATAGATTTAGCCGTGGATCTGCTTGCTGAGGTGGCAGCAGTAGCTGCGGACAGCTGGCAGACGCGGACCATGGCGAGGGAAGCTGCACGGAAGGTGCATGAGGCCCAGTTTGCAGCGGTAAGACGAGCAGTGGAGGGGGCGATGGAGGCAGTATTGCTGGTGTGAGCATGGGAACGAGCAGCTGAGGGAGGAATTGGGGGCAGTGAGGATGGTGCAGAGGGGTGATGGTGATGGGAGGAGTGCTTATGGTGTGCAGATGCATTCTCGTGAATGGGACCCACCACACCAGGGAGGAACCCCTGTGCCTGTTTGTGCTGTAGCTCTTTCAGCGGGGGCGGCTTGGAGGAGAAGATTCCAGGAAAGGCAAACGCAAGCGGCCGCTTCGGACGCAAGGTCTGCTTTGCAGCACCAGTAGCACCAGCAGCAGTGGCAGCACCAGTAGCACCTGAACGGCCTGCTGCCACAGGCGTTTTAGAATCCCCAGGCGCAGCAGCAGCAGCAGCAGAAGCAGCCCCCCAATGTGTGGGTTGCGGTTCAGGGAGAGACGATGGTGGGGCAGGTTGAGAGGGAATTGCTGTAGGTGCGGATGTGGAGGCTGATGTTTGGGCTAAGACTCGCGCGAGGAGCTTGATCGCGGAGGTTCGGAACTGCGGAGAGGTTTGGAGCACGAGACCTGCAATCAGGCTCGGGCCGAGCCTTGAAGCCAGCAGTCCGAGAACAGCCAGACCTGTAGGGACAGCAGAGGGGTGAGGGACCGGACCAGCAGGGGTGAGAGAGGGATCAAATGATTCCTCAGGAATGCTGGAAAGGGATTGGAGGGCAAAGAAACTTGGAACGTTGAATGAAGGGAGCGCTTTGACATAAGGTGGGAGAAAAGTTTGCGTTTTGCGTTGTAGCGACGTCTGTGTGTTACAAGTGGCTGACCTGGCGGCAGGAGGGAGGGGCACTTGAGTGCCAGAGCTGGAAGCAGGCAGAGCAGCTCTGGGATGAACACGGGATCATCAAATAGCCTCCTCTCCAGGTGTGCTCTGAGTTCACTCAATACACGCTGACCCTGGTGTGGTGTGGGTTACGTGTGGTGTGACTCACCTGGTGGCAGGAGCGAGGGGCACTTGAGCGCCAGAGCTGGAAGCAGGCAGAGCAGCTCTGGGAGAAACATGGGATCGTCAAATAACATCCTCTCCTCTTCTTCTTCTTCTTCTTCTTCTTCTTCTTCTTCTTCTTCTTCTTCTTCCTCTTCCTCCTCCTCCTCCTCCTCCTCCTCCTCCTCCTCCTCCTCCTCCTCCTCCTCCTCCTCCTCCTCCTCCTCCTCCTCCTCCTCCTCCTCCTCTCCCTCCTCCCCTTTCATCCCTTTGCACCGCTCTCTAACCATGCGCAAGGCAGCAGCACCCATCAATTCCTCCTCAAGACCTCCCAGGCCCCACTCCCCCAACCCTCCTCTCCCCCACACACCCCCCTCAGCTCTCTGCACTCCTCTTTTTCTCTTCCCTTCACTGTCACGCCTCTTAAACCTCAGCTTCTCCCACTCCACTTCCTCCTCCGCTCCCCTTGCCCCTCCTTCTGCGGCGGCCCGACTCTCACGCATGTGGAGAAAAAAACGCACAGTGCACTTTCTTAGGAAGAAGACAGCCAACACTGCCCGTTGCACCTGAAAAACACGAGGAAGGTACAAAAAAAAAAAAAAACAGTCACAGCCACCCTACCGACCACAGGCACTGCGCATGTTGGGCTGCAAACGATCGATAAAACATGGCACGATATTCCAAGAAAATAACCATTGCCTCAATACAGTTTCAACATCTAGGTCGCCACGTATGACTAGATTCACTAAGCAGTCGCCTGAAGAGAGTCGGACGTGACATTCCAAGTCAATGAGTCAGTAAAACAAAGAACCAGCCAGCGCCAAAGGCACCATGGCTCACCTCGTCGCCCATTTCAAACATCTCCGCAACATCCAGCTGCGCTGCCCTTCCTCTTCCCCTTCGCTCTCCGCCTCCCCCATGCCTTCCCCCACTACCGTCATTGTCCCCCTCCCTCTTGACCTTTCCGCCTCGTGACACCTTCTCCCTCTTCCCATCCTCTCCCTCTTCCGTCTTTACCAGCCCCTTCCCCCTCATTCCCCCCTCATCCTCCGCTCCCCTCCGCTTCCGCCGCTTCCGAGCCCGTACCCCCGCACCCCACCGTCCTCGCCAGTCTGACTGCAGCTTCCGCCATCCGCGCTGCATCCGTGCGAGCCGCTTAAACTCCGCGGCGACTGCGGCCGGCTCTAGCAGCGACACATACTCCGCAAGACGCGGCGCGAGTTGCGGGTTGAGCACCGCCCGCGACGCCGTGACTTTATCGAAAGCCATGAGGTCTAGCAGATGGGCGTTACGTTTGCTGGGAAAACAATGCGGTCCGACTTTACATTCAGGTGATAAGGATGGAAACTGAGAGAAAGGAAGAAATTGCGGCTGATCAGGTTCCGGAGTCGCTATGCGTCGCGCATTGCACGATGGATTCTTTGAGCTCACGCTTTAGAAGCAGAAGGACTCCATTAGTGTCGACGATACGTGAACATGGAATGCAGGACATGGCGGAGCAGGCTCAAATGCTGCTGGGGTGGTGGTGATGCTTGTAAGGAAACTTCCTTTTCCTTCCTTCGCATCCCTGCTCAACGCGTACATCAGTGTAGCACCAGAGTCAGCACCGTTACCACTCGCAACCCTCGCATCGACAATCCGCCCGCCACCTTCGCACATCGCACCCCGACCTCGCGGCTCGGCGGGTAACCCGCGCTCCGGGCCTCCGCTTCGACACTTTTTCCCAACCTCAGTCTCAGGCCCGTCGCACGACAACCACAGTCCATTACCGTTAACACCGTAGTTTCGCTATATATTCTTCGCTCATGCCTTCGCTCATTGTACTCTTGCTTCGATAGTGCAATTCTCGTTCGTTCACTCAGTATACATTCCGCTGTGGACACATGTCAACTGCAGCTGACACTTAGCTGTCAAACATTATACATGTTATGCTTGTGTAGGCTACAGTGGGTTAGCCTATAGGGGGTACACAATTCTAGGGTTCACTACTTGTACTCATTTCACTTCTAGTTCATCCATTCCTGTTCGCTTATTCTCACATGGTATAGAGCGGGTCCTTCTACGGACCGTTTTTTTTTTGGCCCACCGAAGCGCCCCCCGAGGCGCGATTTTTTTTTTTTTTTTTTTTCGCGACCCCTCGGGTCGTCATTTCCCCTGCGGCCCCGCCGCCTTCACTGACGCGGCTCCGCCGCCTGCTCTCGCGCGGCCCCGCCCCGGCTTCTACGCGGCCCCGCCCCGGCTTTCACGCGGCCCCGCCGACGGCTCTGTCGCGGCCCCGCCCAGGCCCTTACGCGGCCCCACCGCCTGCCCCCGTCGCGGCCCGGTCGCCTCCTGACGGCCCCGCCGTCCCTTCGTGACGGCCCCGCCGTCCCTTCCTGACGGCCCCGCCGTCCCCTCCTGACGGCTCCTGCCGTCCCCTTCTACCGGCCCCGCAACTGCACCTGCTGGCCCCGCCACTGCACCTACCGGCCCCCACCACCCCCCCCCCCCCCTTTTCCCGTCGCCCGTCGCGGCTCCTTCGGGGGCCGCAGCAGAGGGGTGGCAGGTGTGTGGCCTCCCCTGCTTCTCCTCCTCCATCATCTCCCACTGCAGCAGCCGAGCCGCTCACCTGCAGCAGCCGAGCCGCCCCACCGCCGAGCCGCCCTGCACCCGAGCCGCCCAGCAGCCGAGCCGCCCTGCCGCCGAGCCGCCGGGTCGCTGAGCTGCTGAGCTGCAGTTGCTGCCGAGCCGCCCTGCCGCCGAGCCGCCGAGTCACCGAGCTGCTGAGCTGCAGTTGCTGCCGAGCCGCCTTGCCGCCGAGCCGCCCGAGTCGCCCGAGCCGCCGAGCCGCCGAGCTGCCGAGCCGCTGAGTCGCCGAGCCTACTCTTCCCACCACTGGTGAGCTCTTGCCCTGCTAGCACGCTGCGCGTCGCCTGCTTGCCTGCCTGCCTGCCTTTTGGCTTGCTTGGCTGCCTGCCTTCCTACTGCTAGTCCTGCTCCTACTTCTACTTGCGGAGCCAGATGCAGCCCCAGCGACGCCTGCGTGAGTCCCTCACGCCCCAGCAGCTGCGTGAATGGTACGCTGGTTGGGGCTGTAGGGGTGGCGACGCTACTCCTACTACCACTCCTGCTGCTTCTACTCGTGGTGGCGGCCAGATGCAGCTCCCGCGACCCTCTCGCATGTCTCTCACGCCTCGCCAGCTTCGTGAGTGGTACGCTCAGAGTGGTGGGACTCTCAGTGCTGTTCGCTGCTCTTACGTGATTCGCACTGGTACTCGGACTGGTCAGCCTTGTGGGACACGTAGTCATACACAGTCCCGCTGCTTCGCCCGTCTGAGCGACGCCTGGCGTACCGTGTTCGGCGACGAGGCTGAGCTTCCCGACTGGGTGGAGTTGCTTAGGCAGAGGGTAGATATATATGATCTTGACTATGATGCTATTCTCACTGCCATGTATGCATTGCCTACTAGTGCTGACCGTGCCGGTCACCTGTGCGTCCCGCCTGACCCAGGTATAGGACCTGCTGCTCTAGCTACTGGTGAGGCTGCTGCTCTGGGTGCTAGTGAGTCTCCTGCTCCAGGTACAGGTGCGGCTACTGCTCTAGGTGCTAGTGAGTCTGCTTCCTCAGGTGCGGGTGAGGCTGCGCTCTCAGGTACCGCGTTGGCTTCGGCCTCCCTCACCTTTACACTTGACTCTGGGGCTTCTCGCTCCTTCTTTCGGGACCGCACCACACTCACGCCGCTTGATCGGCCGGTTGCAGTCTCTCTGGCTGACCCCTCTTGGGGTCCTGTCCTCGCTCACTTCTCCACTGTCCTCCCGTGTCCGGCTGCCCCGTCGGGCACCCTGTCTGGCCTGTACCTCCCCTCGTTCTCGACGAACTTGGTCAGTGGTGCAGACCTACAGGATGCGGGGGTTCACCAGTTCACTCCTGCGAGTCAGCGGGTGACCCACTGCACGGACGCACGCACAGGCCGGCACCTGGCCACGTTCTCGCGTCGGCCGGGGTCGAGCCTCTACACCCTGACCACTGAGTCTCCTCCTGTCCCCGCGTCCGGTCAGGTAGCAGCGTCGGGTCAGGTGTTTGCTGCTGCGTCCAGGTCTGGTCCTGAGTCTGCCCCCTGTTCGTGTCGCCTCCTGTCTCACGAGACTCTTCTGTGGCACCACCGTCTAGGCCACCCCTCCTTGCCCCGTCTTCGGGGCATGGCTTCCCGTGTCCTTGTCTCTGGTCTTCCCCAGTCTCTCCCTCCCCTTCCTTCGGGACCAGGACCTTCCTGTGTCCCCTGTGTCGAGGGGCGCCTCAGGGCTGCTCCTCACTCCTCCCAGTTTCCCCCGACAGAGGCTCCTCTGCAGACGCTTCACATGGACGTGTGGGGCCCGGCCCCCGTCCGTGGGCAGGGTCACGAGCGCTACTTCCTGTTGGTGGTTGACGACTACTCGCGTTACACCTCAGTCTTCCCCTTGCGCAACAAGGGTGCTGTCACTGAGGTGCTGATCGACTGGATCCGCGAGGCTCGTCTCCAGCTCAGGAGGAGCTTTGGCTCGGACTTTCCTGTTCTGCGTCTGCACTCTGACCGAGGTGGGGAGTTCTCCTCTCGCCTTCTGCGAGACTACTGTCGTGCACAGGGGATCCGCCAGACCTTTACGCTTCCGGACTCTCCACAACAAAATGGGATTGCTGAGCGCCGCATTGGCATGGTCATGGATGTCGCTCGTACGTCCATGATGCATGCGGCTGCCCCCCATTTTCTGTGGCCGTTTGCGGTTCGGTACGCGGCGCATCAGCTCAACCTTCACCCCAGGGTCTCTCGGCCCGCGATGTCCCCAGTGTTACTGTGGACGGGGAAGGTCGGCAATGCGTCTGCGTTCCGTGTCTGGGGATCTCGGGCGTTTGTTCGCGACTTGTCTGCGGACAAGCTGTCCCCCCGTGCTGCTCCCTGTGTCTTCCTTGGCTTCCCCCCTGACGCTCCAGGGTGGCAGTTCTACCACCCCTCCTCTCGTCGTGTTCTGTCCTCCCAGGACGTCACGTTCGACGAGCCAGTCCCCTTCTACCGCCTCTTCCCCTACCGCACTCCTTCCCTCCCCCCCCTGTCAGAACATTATAGCTGATACGTGTTGTAGGCTACAGTGGGGTAGCACATATGGGGTACAGATTCCTAGGGTTTGCCATTTTTGTACCAATTTCTGACTTAGTCATTTTCATTCCTGTTTACCTAACTTCACATGGTATAGAGCAGGTCCCTCTTAAGGACCGATTTTTTTTGGGCCCACCCACGCATTTCTCTCTGCCCGGGGCGCGCCCTACTCTCCCCGAGGCGCGCTCCCCTTCGTGCGATTCGCGCTGCCTTTGCGGGCCCTCGCGAGTCGCGCGCGCAATTTTTTTTTAGCGCGCGCGGCTCGGGCGTGCGTCGCGCGGGCGTTACGACCGCGCCGCGCCGCCCTCTCGGCCCGGCTGCGCCCCGTCGCCCTCCTACCGGCCGCGCGGCCGCTTCGTCGCGGCCGCGGGCCCCGCTTTTGACGGCCCCGCCGTTCGTTTTTACGGCCCGCCACTGCACCTGTCCCGGCCCGCCGCTGCATACCCGGCCCCGCCGCTGCATACCCGGCCCCGCCGCTGCATACCCGGCCCCGCCGCTGCATACCCGGCCCCGCCGCTGCATACCCGGCCCCGCCGCTGCATACCCGGCCCCGCCGCTGCATACCCGGCCCCGCCGCTGCATACCCGGCCCCGCCGCTGCATACCCGGCCCCGCCGCTGCATACCCGGCCCCGCCGCTGCATACCCGGCCCCGCCGCTGCATACCCGGCCCCGCCGCTGCATACCCGGCCCCGCCGCCCCACTATCACGGCCTCGCCGCTGCACCTGTCCCGGCCCGCCGCTGCACCTGTCCCGGCCCCGCCGGCCTCTGTCCCGGCCCGCCGGCCTCTGACCCGGCCCCGCCGGCCTCTTTCCCGGCCCCGCCGCTGCATACCCGGCCCCGCCGCTGCATACCCGGCCCCGCCGCTGCATACCCGGCCCCGCCGCTGCATACCCGGCCCCGCCGCTGCATACCCGGCCCCGCTGCTGCATACCCGGCCCCGCCGCTGCATACCCGGCCCCGCCGCTGCATACCCGGCCCCACCGCCCACTATCACGGCCCCGCCGCTGCACCTGTCCCGGCCCCGCCGCTGCACCTTGACGGCCCCGCCGTCCCTTACCTCGGCCCCGCCACTACACTGCAGCAGGGCCATCCGGGAGCAGCCGGACCGCCCAGCAGCAGCCGGACCGCCCAGCAGCAGCCGAGCCGCCAAGCAGCA